TATATATATATATATATATATATGTATATATATATTTATATGTTAAGTGTATACAATTTTATTTTTTAAAAGTATCACTCAGCAATTTAGTTTTGTGTGTAATGCTCCAGTTCTTGGAGTCTTTCTCCTCCAATTATGAAAATAACACGCACTTAACGACAGACTACTTGGAAAATTTGCAAAACACTAAATAGTGCAAATCCATGTCCTTGGTATTTATTCCTTTTTTTTTTTTTGGCTTTTCCTGCTAGTTTATGAATCTTGAGAACAGGGATGGCACAGCCATTCGAATGATGACAGTAATGATGATGATGGTAACGATAATATAAATAGCCGCCACCACAAAGAATTCTCCTCCCACCTAGCTCAAATGTCTAGCACATTCTAGTTGCTCTTTAAATCTTTGTTATACAAATGAAAGAACAGAGATAACCAGTGTTCAGTATTTTAGAGTATGTCTTATCAGTCTTTTATAAAATTATATGTTATTGATGTAGTATGTATGCTATATATAAAATACATACACATTACTATGAGTTGTAGCTTGGAGAGAGCATAGGAGAGTAAAAAGACAGTTAAAGAAAAGTATGTATTCAACTACACAAAACATAGATTTTTTGTACAAGAACTGTGTAGTCTTTCCTATTAGGGCAGGTTCTTGGAGTAAGTGCGGCAGAAATTGTGTCTTAAATTATTTCTCCATCTCCAGAGCTTGGTATCTAGTAGGTACTCAAAAAAATGTTTGCAAGTGAATGAATTAGTGAATATTTCAGACCGGTTTGTATGAGTAGTTGTATCTAGATTGTTTTTCCCCCCGTGTTTTGGGAATGTATAATGTATGTATATCATATAACCAAATGACCTAAGATCCATGGTGGTGTATGAATCTACCTTTCTAGCCTATGCCTTCACACCATCCTTCTCCCTGCCGTATTTACAACTGCTGGCATCTGTCCGTATTCCATTCTCTCACACCTCAGGCCTTCGAGCTTCCCATGTGTTGTTTCCACACCCTTGAATTCTCTTAATTGGTATCTTCATCTGTCAAAATCTTAAGTGCCCTTTAAGGTAGGTGTTACAAGCTGAAATGCTTACAGGGGCTAATCAGGTAACATAAGCAGTCAGGTTGATTTTGGTGGAGATTGTGGGAAACTGGAGAACACTACCCTGTCTAAAATATCCCAGCAACTGTTTGGCACGAGCTAGTCATTACCAAGTCGAATGTGGCCCAGGGTTGCGAGATCTTTCAGTTTTACAAGGGAATTTGGAAATCTGTATTTGTAGATTAAGTTTGATTTTTAGATTTTTTTAATGTTAGCAATTACTATTTAAAACTGTTTAAACACTGTGCAGGTCAAATAAAAACACCTGTAGTCTGGGGCTGGCCGAGTGGCTCAGTTGGTTAAGAGCTCGCTCAACAGTGAGAGCTCTGAGCAACAGGGTTGCCGGTTCGAATCCCGGCCCGAGCTGAGCTGCCGATGAGCTGCCAACAGGTGGCAGGATGACTCAGCTAAAAAATAATAATAATAATTATAAATAAAAATTTAAAAAACACCTGTAGGCTGGATGTGGCACTCAAAATCCCAGTTTGTGGCCACTATTCCATGCTTATTTCAGATACTTTGTCCATGAATATTAGTCTGTTTCTAGCAGACATCTTCCTCTCTGTTCTTTTAGCATTTTGTGTATACCTCAATTATAGTGCTCCTTCCAAGCTGCCGTCGTTGTTAAGATAGCTCTCTTTTCTAGTACATTAGAAAGTTTTGATGTCATGGATTGGGTCTAATTCTCTACTTAGTATATATCAGTACAAAATATATGTTTATACATACCTAAGATGTCATTGTGTGTATCTGTATGTATGTATGAGGTACATTTATTTGACCCCTGGTGATATTTGGCTATCCTGGAAACCAGTATCTGCTCTTTGTAAAAACACCAATAGTATCTTGGCTTTAATTGCTGTACTTCTGGAAGAAATCGAATTGGTTAACATTGCTTTTCAAAATCTAGTCTGATATAAATCCTGTCTGATGGCTTAAATTTCATAATCTCTGAAAAATTGAGGTAGGAATGATTAATAACTAATAAGATTTTTTAAATGACAGCCAATAAAAAGAAAAATTGATAAAATGGACCTCATTGAAATTAAAAGCTTTTGCTCTGTGAAAGAACCAGTGAAGAGCATGAAAAGATAAACTACAAACTGGGATAAAATATTTGCAAACCACATATCTGACAAAGGACTTGAAATCTAGAATATAAAAGGATCTGTCAAAACTCAACAGTAAAAAAAAACCCCAATTATAAAATGAGCAAGAGATACAAATAAATATTTCATTGAAGAGGATATACAGATGGCAAATGAGCACATGAAAAGATGTCCAATATCATTAGCCATTAGAGAAATGAAACTTAAAGCCACAATGAGATATTACACACCTATCAGACTCAAATAAAAAATAACCACCAAATTCTGGTAAGAACACAGAGAAACTTGATCACTAATTGCTGGTGGGAATGTAAAATGGTACAGCTACTTTGGAAGAAAGCATGGCAGTTTCTTATAAAGTAAATAAGTACCAGCGATTACACACTTGGTCATTTATTCCAGAGAAATGAAAGCTTATGTCCCCATAAAAACTTGCACATGAATGTTCATAGCTGTTTTATTTGTAATAGCCCATACTGGAAACAGCTCAGTATTCTTCAACAGCTAAATAGTTAAACAAACAGGGATACATTCATGCCAAGGAATACTACTCAGCAAAAAAAAAAAAAAGATGCTATTGATACATACAACTTGGAAGGATCTTGAGGGACTTGTGCTAAGTGAAAAAAGTTGATCTCAAAGGTTACATACTCTGATTGCATTTATCTAACATCTTAAAATGACAAAATTATAGAGATGGAGAGCAGATCAATGGCTCCTTCCTATGGGTTGGGAGGAGGATAGGATATGGCTCAAAAAGGATAATAACCCAAGGGATTCTTTTGATTGAACTGTTCTGTATCCTGACTGTGGTAATGGTCACAGAAACCTACACATGTGATAAATTTTCACAGAACTAATTACACACATAACAACTGAGCACATGTAAAACTGATGAAATCAGAATGGGGTCGGTGGATTTTATCTTATCAATATCCTGGTTGTGATATTATTACTATAGTTATATAAATTGTTACCATGGGGAAAACTGAGTGAAAGATATATCAGATTTCTCTGTATTATTTCTTTTATTTCTCACACCTGCATGTGAATCTATGATAATCTCAAAATGAAAAGTTCAAACAAATAACTTATACCAAAGAGCCTATACAATTAATTTTTTTTCTTGGGCTTTTATTTTACCAGGCGATGATCTAATCATGTCGGATAAAGATGATATTGAGACTGAAGCAACTCCCACCCTTGAAAATGTGGACTCTGAGCTAGCCAAGAATTCTGAGTCTGTTGATCAAAGTGCCAAGCCGGAGAGTAAACCAGAACCTGTGGTTTCTACTCGGAAAAGACCAGAGTCCAAACCTTCCAGTGACCTTGAGACTTCAGAAGTTCTCCCTGTTGAGGCATCACAGGCTGCAGGCAAAGTAGAGTATCTGTTAAAAATTGAGATTGAAAAATATTAAGGTTAAAAAGAATTTGGAATCAATACTAGTTTAGGATTGTACCTATTTCTTTCCTTTCATAATCATAAAACATAATTTTCTCAGTTCTATAAATGCCTTTATGAGTAGTTGCCTTTGCTTTGTGGTGCTTACATGCAGTTTACATACATATGTCAGTCAAGCAATACAGTTCTTCAGCTAAATAATACGTATTTGTTCACCCATATTTGTGGCTAATAATTAGATATCTTGTCCATACACTGTTATTTTTCTCTAATTTTTTTCTTTTTCCTTTGCTTTCTGGTTTTCTGGCTACTGGGGAAAATAGGAGACTGTTTCCAAAGATGAACCCCAGACCGGATGGGGCTATTGGGGCAGCTGGGGCAAGTCCTTACTCTCCTCAGCTTCAGCTACGGTAGCCACAGTAGGTAAGCCCATCAGTTATTGTATTAATTTTTATGTGTATTTTGCTACAGATATGTGTTAAAAGTGATTTTGTTAATACCGTATTTGCCGGCGTATATGACGACTGGGCATATAAGACTACCCCCTAACATTTCCACTCAAAATACAGAGTTTGTTATATACTCGCCGTATAAGACTACCCCCTCTTCCGCACACCTTCCACACACCAAATAAAAGGTAAAACAATATCAGATTTGATTTGGCCCACTGAAGTGCAAACAAGCGTATTGTATTTCGTGTCACCACATAACCGTTTTGGCGATGTTGAGCCACCATGTCTGCTACATGTTTTTCGAGTTCTGGCCAGTGTGGGGTGCCTCTTCTTAATGCACACTTACCCCTCGGCATACTCTTTAATGCTTTCTCATTTGATTTCCAGTCCCGAACCATCTTTTCTGTTACTCCATATTGTCTTGCAGCAGCACAATTATTATTTTCCTTAGCAAAGTTTATAACTTTCAGTTTAAAATTTGCATCATACTTCTTTCTTTTGGCTGGTGCCATGATAGGGATGATAGGGGTTTGACTGGTCGACATTTTCTATGCTGTACTGTACAATGGTGCAGTATTGTGGTTGGCTGTTGGCTGTATACAAAGCCTGATTTGATTGGTCCCTGCTCCCTGTTTGTCCGCCCTGTCACTATAGCAGTCTGGTCCACCCTTGCATCAGCATCTCCCTGGGACCTCACTAGTGCGCAAGTGCGAGCTCTTCAACATTCTAACAGGCACCATGATAGCGCAAAATCGCGAATCTTCAATGCATATGTAAAGAAATATACGGTAATCCGAATTTACCACACTCGCAAAATCGCACACAGCCGACCATACACCCAGTATGGTATCGCGATTCACGATTTTGCGCTATCATACTGGGTGTATGGTCGGCTGTGTGCGATTTTGCGAGTGTGGTAAAATCGCATAGCAGCAAAATCGCATAACAGCCGAGCATACACCCAGCAGCGCTGCTGATGCCTGAACGGTATGTGGAATGAAGTGGGCGGGCATCGGGAGGCCACTGTGGCACGGGGCAAGCACTATGGGCAGTCTATGTGAAGTGTACCTGGCGTATAAGACAACCCCCCACTTGGAGGCATATTTTTCAGGGCCAAAAAATCGTCTTATACGCCGGCAAATACGGTAATTCATCTTCCATGTTTATTCAAAGTCCTTATAGTTTGAGGATGCATTAGCAATGATAGGCTGATTTATCCTGCCACTTGAGTTTGCAGCATTTCCTCCTTAGAAGGGTGATGTTTAGGAATTATTAATATGAAACTATTCTTTAATGATAATAAATCTTCTTCTTTTTTTTTTTTTTCTTTTGGTAACGATGCATTCCCAAAGATTACGTATGGTCAAAATAACATGGGCTGTGGCCATAATGAAATAAAAATATCTGTGGATTTGGTTTTTGTTTCTTTTCCTTCAGTTTTGGTGAATAATGGCAATTAATATTCAAATATAAAAATGTTACCATTTTTCTCATTAGGACAAGGTATTTCAAATGTCATTGAGAAGGCAGAGACTTCCCTTGGAATCCCTAGTCCCAGTGAAATTTCAACTGAGGTCCAATATGCAACAGGTTAGTATATGGAAACACTAAGACCTAGAATTATGGATCAAAATGCAAAGGGTGAGCTCATTTTTTAGTAGATATTGATTGAATACTCAGGGCATGATGGGACTGGTGAGAAAGGGAATTTAAAATCTGTGGCTGACAGAGGTCTGTATCCTTTAGCCACTCATGTGTCTCTTTGCTTTTCTCATTTATGAAATGGGATGATATTTTATATCTCAAAGGAGTATTATAACCATTAAATAAATAAGGCCATGAACGTAGCATGTAAAAATTGCCTGTCATTTTGCTTGGCACAATTGTGTAAGAGTCCAGTAAGAGTTAGATGAATTTGAATCTGTCATGGTAAGAAAAAATATTTTAATGGGTTAGTTTTGGGTGTGTGTTTTTGTGTGTTTGGATTTTTATGAAGGTGAAGTTTAATTCTGGAGACCTGCCTTAATCTAGTAGAAACCTACTCTCACTTAAGCCATAAAGGACAGAGTTATAATCAGGGATCAAGAGAGTCTGGACCACAAAATAGAAAGCTTTTCGGGGCTTGAGTTTGCTTTCTCCATCTTTCAGAGACTTTATTGACTCCCACTCTTGCTTCTCTCTGCTCATCTGTATCATTTTTCTCTCAAATCAGACTGACTTAGAGCCTCTGCTTATTTTCCCCTGCTCTAGCTTTATATTGAGTTCTAGTATAAGAACCCATCAGAGACTGTTTGATATCAGTTATTTCTACTTCTAAATTCCTCAGAGAGAATTATATCAGCCTAAGCTTGGGTCAGATGTCCTTGGGTCAGCTATGGCTAGGAGACAAGACCACATTATGTATCATGACTGTAAAGGACCATGTGGATGAATTGGGAACATTGTTCTTAGTGATACCTGCATCAGCCTACTTTAGCTGCTACAGAATATGTGACTAAAAGTGAGTTTATTTTTCTCACATAGAAGATCTCCATCCAGAGTTAGTTTAGTGGCTCATTGATGTCAGGGTTCTGTGTTGGCTTCTCTGCAGTCTTCTTAGTTGTCTCTTTATGGTTGCCATATAATACTGCAGCTCCAAGTATAGTGTTTTACGAGTAATACAGCTGTGCTCAAAGTCAGGAATTAAGTGGATGGGAAGTGTCATTTCTCCTCATGTATCTTTCACCCTTTAAAGGGAAGAAAAGTTTTCCCAGCAGCCCCCAGCGTATTTCTCAAATTTCACTGGTTAGAGCAAGGTCTTGTGTTCATGCTATAGCCGCAAGAGACGCTGGGAGAGTGTGTTTGGGGCATTATGATAAACCTCTTTATCAGGAAGTGGGCTTAGCAGGCAAGGAAAAGGGGATTAGAAGTGGCTTTGAGTAGGTAAACAGCAGTGTCTCCCACAAGACCTAAAAGATGTCTACCACACCAAGCCATATTTTAAGAAAGGAATTGAAAAACTGGAGTGAATCCTGAAAAGAATAAGCTAGATAGTAAAATACCAAGAATTGATGTTTTACAAGAGAAAGTTGAAGGCATCATGGATATTAAATCTGGGAACCTGGGAAAGGGAGATTGGGAAAATATGGTGGTTCTTTTCATGTCTCTGTAGACCACCATGGAGAAGAAGGCCTAGGTTTATTTGTGGCTCATGAAGAGAGAACATTGGAAGTTACATGCATTTAGATTTTATTTAATAAAGAATTTCTGAAGGGTTAAAAGAGTTAATAAGAGAACTTTCCAAAATTAGAATGGAAAGCCTTATGATAATAAACTCTTCCCATCTTCTAAAGTTCCTGAGGACGGGGCTTAATTCCTCTGCCAAGGATGTTGTAGCTGGGATGTGTCTTTTCTGAACTTTGAAGTAATCAAGAGGCCACCAGCAATGGAAATCATTCAGTCATCTCTTAGGGATGGGGCAGGGATGGGGTGTTTAATCCAAAGACTATGTTTGAATATGCTTGATAATGACAGGGAAGACCAGTAATTGAGGGAATAAGAAGAAATAAATTGTGTGAACCACTTCAGACTGGTACTTCACAGAAATATTTGTTGAGGGTGTACCATTCAAGTGTCCTATGTTTGTTCTTTTATGCTTTTGAGCCCCACAGTCCTTTGCTATTTGTAAACCTGGGGGAAAATGCCAAATGAATACATCAGGGGGTTGAGGAATAAAGAATGTTTTATGCTTGCATCTGCATCAAATGCTCATTTCCTTCTTACTGTTGTTAAGCATTGTCTCTGGCTTCAGACATCAGCTATAATAGGAAGATTATTTTTCTAGACTCACTCCACGGATTAATTCATTCAAGAAAAATTTGTGCCTACTCAGTGGCAGGCAATTAAGATATTGGTAGCTTAGACTGATCCTTTTAAGGCTTATTTTTAAGCTTCTTTAGGGTGAATCTAGAGGAGCCTTTACTTTCAGGTGCTAGTTTAGCCCTACTCTTAAGGACTCTGAACCCTTCTAAGGTTTCCACCTAATTCCCACGTGTTTAACTAGATTTCTCTACTTGATGGGTCTGAAGTCAAATGTCTTTCAGCCTAGCAGGAGCTTTGGACATTGTTTACTTTACAGCTCCATGGTAGTTCTTTGCCCAATATCATCTCCCAGTGCATGAGCAGCTTAGTATTCAGCCAAAGACTCAAGGGCACTCCTATGTAGATGCCTGGAACTCTTTACCTCTGTAGCTCCCTCCTCTCTAGTACTCTGACCTGCAAATTCCACGTGCTTCAGCCTTCCTGGACTCCGGTCTCTGTCTCTTCCACTCAGTGGACTGCCCTGCTCTGCTTGGGTTTCCCCTCCCTGTGCTGTGGTCTGGAAAGCCAAGCCAATCGCAGGATTCCCTTTATTGGTTTCTCTTCTCTCCTGGATCATAGTCCTGAACTTATCTGTTGTCCAATGTCTGAAGGCAGTTATTTCTTATATTTTGTCCAGTTTTTCTAGATGCTATGGTGGAAGGACAAGCCCAATACCATTTAATTCATCATTGTTAGAAGTAGAAGTCCTTGCAATAATAATTATTTGTTGATCTCCTATGGAGATTTCAGAGTTAATAGAATATAACTTTTTCAGTGAAACATACTAATCTTTGTAATGCATGTCTGATTCCTACAAAGAAGCGTAATTTTTTAAGGATAAAATTTAAAATAGGCTGGATTTTAAAGCAGGTTTATTGAGCTATAATTTACATGCAGTAAAGTTTACACTTTTTAGGTATATAGTTTTACATGTTTTGACAAATATACAGTCTTGTTTACATTGTATAATCACAGTCCATTGTGATTATACAAATAGAGACTATTTCCTGTACCTGTATAGACAATCAAGATACAAAAATATTTTCAATTATTTCCTCAAAATCTCTTCATGCCCCTTTGTAGTCACCCCCCTCCTCCACCCACTCTCAGCTCTTGAAAACCAATCATCTGTTTCTGACCCTATACTTTGTCCAGAGATCATGTAAATGGAATCATACAGTATATAGTCTGTTGTTAATATATATCAGTAGTCTGTCAACAGACTTGATTTTATTTCTGAAATGAATGAAAATGAAAAAAAGCTCTCTTAGCTTTCATTTTAAAATAGGCAAATAGTTTAAAATAATAAAACAAAAAGAGCTAAAGCTTTGTGTGTGGGAAGCAGGGTCTAATTTTTTAAAAATTCACATAGATGTTAATAAAGCAAAATTATTTATGGACCATGTCTTCATATTTACATATTCCCCTTCCTCCTGCAGGAGAGACAAATGCCAAAGAGAATGAAAACTCCCTAATGACTGGACCATTTGGTGTATTCTCAACCATCTCTACTGCTGTTCATAGCACAGTGAGTAAAAAGTGTAAGGTGGCCTGTTCCCTTCCATGATTATTAAGGTTTCTTTGTCTTTTTCTCTCTCTTTTCTTTGAAAAGACATGGAGACTGATGATACTTGCGGCAGTCCAAACTGCTGAAGATCAATCAATTTGATCTTAGGGGTAGAGGGAGGGCTACTTGAAAACTATCTTTAAAGAAGTAAAGGAGGGAGCAGGAGGTGAAGAGTAACAGAGAGGCAGTGTACATAATATTTTATGGACTAGGAGTTCTTAGTTTGGTGACTCTAGAAAACTGCTGCTTTATAAAAATATTTTTCTCATAATTTCATTTTTTGGGCAAAGGGGAAATATATATGATAGATAACGTGTAAAACTGTGGATGATTAGAAACATTTTAAAAAGCAGTGTTTATATACAAAGCTTAATATCTTTCCTATATGAGGATAGATAGCTAGTACTTTTTAACTTTTTACTAAAGTATAACATATATACAGAAAAGTGAAATCCTAAGTGTTCAGTTTGAAGTTTCATAGTGTGAACACATTCAGACTAAGAAACATGATGGTACATTAGATGTTCCCCCGTGCCGTCTCCCAGTCATCTGTGTCCCCCCTACTTGCCTACCAAGACAGCCACAATCCTGACTCTACCATCACAGATTAATTTCACCTGCTTTTAAACTTTATATAAATGGACTCACATAGAACATACCCTGTTGTATCTAGCTTCTTTCACTCAACATTATTTTTTATGATTTATCCATGGTGAAATTTGTGTGGTGTATTCCTTTTTTTTTTTTTTTTTTTTGTATTCCATTGCGTGACTATGTCAATTTACGCATTCCACAGTTGGTGAGTGTTGGGGTAGTTTGCAGCTTTTAGCTTTTACAAAAAGTGCTGCTATGAGCATTCTTGTAGGTCTTCTGATGAACCTCAGTACAAATTCCTGTTGAGCATGTAACCACGTGTGGAGTTGCTGGATTGTAAGATATTCATAGTTTCATTCAGCTGTTTTAGATACTGACAAACCATTTTCCAAAATGGTTATACCAGTTTATATTCTCACAAGCAGTGTATAATTGTTTCAGTTGCTCTATATTCTTGCCAGTGCTTGGCATTATACGCCACTATTTTGTATAATCGAAACATGCAGATGTCTTTTTTCAGTATTATTGTAATGAGGTTGCATGTGTTTCCTAGGGAAAGAGTGTTATCAGTGGGGGTTTGGATGCCTTAGAATTCATTGGGAAAAAGACAATGGACGTAATAGCCGAAGGGGATCCTGGATTTAAGAGAACCAAGGGTCTGATGAACCGGAATTCTACACTGTCGCAGGTAGTGTTTGTCTTTTCCTGTTTACTTCCTATTTCTGTTTTGATTTTTATTTTTGCCTGTGGTAACTTTGGACCTTGTTATTATTTCCTTTTGAAGATTTTTAACTAAGGGGTTTTTTTGAAGGGGAGGGGGAGGAGTGAGAGCTCTAATACTTAGAAAAACGCCCAGTTCTTTCTTCTTTCTTTTCTGCAGGAGCCCTCTGTAAGTGCAGCACAAGATGCCAACCCCCTTCAGAGCTGTTTATTAGATTAATGTTTAAACCACTTTCAGAGAAACACTTGGTTCCTTGGGTGTTATTTACCCTGTGTAGAATCAAATTATGTCTGATCGTTTTTTTCCTGAAGCTCCTGAGCCTGTCTCATTTGAAGCGCAATGCCAAGAATTGAAGGGCATTGCTCTGTACTGTTACCCATCTCAGCTTTGCATCCCTCGACTTTCAAAACTCACCCTTGTTGCTTGCCGCACTGAGACGCCTCCATGTCTTTTTCAGGTTTTACGAGAGGCGAAGGAGAAAGAAGAGCAGTGGACCTCCGATGAGGCCACCACGGACGCGGACAAGAAAACTCATTACGGGCTGCTCTTCGATGAATTTCAAGGCCTTTCACATCTAGAAGCTCTGGAGATGCTTTCCCAAGAAAGTGAAATAAAGGTAACTTTAAATCAAAAATTTCAACTGGAATAGTCTCTGAGCAAAGGAACGCTACCTACTTTCTTTTCTTTTTGTACAGTTGAAAGATGAAATGTATTTCAGATGGAGGCTTGAGAATGAATATACTATGCCAAAACAAACAAATCGAGAAATTGACGTTTGAACTAATTGGTAGAAATAGAATGAGACAGGTGTTATTTCTCTAAATTTAAACAAAAAAGGAGAAATTAACAAAGAGGGCTTAATAGCACATTTGTTATTTTTTCTTCACGTTGGTCTTTTTTTTTCTTTTAAGTTTCTTTGGCTTAACCTGCCAATTTAGATACAGTTACCTGCTAGCTTTTAATTGATTCAAGACTACTTCATTTCCCTCCCTAATTTCTAAGCTGTTGTTAAGCGGTAATAATTTCCAGACATTTCTGGCTTGTATTATTTTTGGAAGTAGAAATTTTACCCTTCTGTAATGAGCAGCCCGTTGTGTGAAGGTTTTTAGTAATAGCTTGAGCTCGTAATTTTGCTTTTAATTGGATCTGTAGCCTCTTCTCCATGTGAGAATGTTTTTCTTTTGCCTTTATACTCCCACAACTGTTTTTTATTACTTTATATCAATTCAGGTGAAATCTGTCCTTAATTCTCTAAGTGGAGAAGAATTAGAGACTCTAAAACTTGAATTGGAGCAACTCAAAGAAGCATTTTCTCTAGCAGAGTTCTGTGAGGAAGAGGAAGAAGAGGAAAAAGGTAATATGATAACCCAGCATCTGAATAGTAAAGATGTAGTGTGTTTACATGCAGCGTATTGCCCTTAAAATAAATTATTTTCTCTCCAACTATACTAGCCTGATTTTACTTTTTTCATTGAGAATGTTCATGCAAAATTCTCTGCTGCCTTGCACCTAACTAGGTGCATTGATGTGAGCAGTTGGTCTTATGTGCATGTCTTCTCCCCCGCCCCACAATCTCTGTGGCTTGTCAAAGTCTGATCTTGTAACTCACATCTCTGCCTGCTTTTTCTGTTAGAGAGCTGCCCTTGTCAGATTCCTGCCTCAGCCTGGCTGGCCATCCCTGTGAGCTTTCATATCCCTAGATACTGCTCCCATGCCTCTCTGGCTCCTGTGACCCCTGTCTTCATCTTGGATTGAAGCAGGCAGGGTGGTGGTTATCCAAAATGTGGGTGATAGTTGGTCTTTTTCTTAAGTCAACTCTTAACCAACTAAGCCACTCGGCCGGCCCCCTCAAAACTTTATTTTTAATGACATGTTTTTAATAGCTGCATCCCTCAGAAAAAGTAAGTAGTAACTACTCATTTTTGCAAAGTTATCAGGAATGAGGTGGTTTACATAAAGCTTAATTTCTGAATAGTAACTGAATCTTAAGCTGTGAGTTATTTTATGTTAACATTTTAGCTGGAAATATTTCTCTTTTTTTT